TAGTTGTTTACCCTTTATATATTAAAATAAGTAAAATAAAAAAAATAAAAAAGTTTGATAAAAAAAATTCTCTAACATCTAGGTCGTTGAAAGAATAATTAGATTGAAATTATCGTCCATTTGGGATATGTGTTACGCCCCTATCTTAACTACTTCGGAAAGTGTACCACCCCGTTATAGGAGGTGTTCAACACCCATCCGAAGTGGTTCCGAAGTGATGCCACCACCAATGTTGTCGATCTGCTAACACTGTGAAGTACAGACAATCTACTGAGTCGACCGAAGCATCCTCGCCCCTGAAGCCGAGGCACAGCACATCCCAAGGTTCTCTGTCAGAGGACCTGCCGCCAATTTTAGAGAGAGATCTATGTCAAGATCCTTTCTGCCTCCAAGGTTTAATTGATTTGACGTCTCCATGAGCCTAGTTGATGTGACGTATGAACTTTATGTCAACTCAACTCGGGAGAAGTAATTACCCTCCTACTCTATAGACGCGACTGATTGACGCCTATGAGTAGACGTCTCACACTGTCAGATGCGTACACGCATCCCACATCCAACGGTTCTCCTTACCTATAAATACCCAAAATTTGACAAAAGGCAAAGGTAATGAAACTCTTACAACATAGCTTTCCATAACAAGCAAATATATATATTCTCCTCCCCACTATTTTGCATAACCTTAGTATTGTTCTGATCAATAGAGGCTAACTTGACCGTCAGAGTGTATGTGGCTGCCACCATCCCCGCTGGTTTCGACCGTATGCATCTGACCGTGCGTTGAATGTGCGCAAGGAGGAATACGTTGAATAGCTATCGGTTGGCACGTGGAGGGTCCAATTTGCGAGGTCAACAGATTGACGCCGTCTGTGGGAAACTTCCCATCCAAAGTTCTGCATTCTCAATCGAAAAACTAGTAACTTATCCTGAAAAAGGTACATTCTTGAAAAAGAACAAAGTCGAGTTATAATCCAAGTTCATATAACCCTTGAAAAATGAGATAAGATGAGTTACAACCATGAAGACAAGAACCCTATAAGAGAGACCTCTAAAGAAGAGGTGCTCCGTAACAATGTCACTCACCAGAGACCCCTTTAGCGGCGTCGCTGAGGTGAAAGAACAGTCATGCTCACTGAAGGAATGACTCAAATAGATGCGGGCATGAGAGACATCGCAGCCCAGAATATGACGATGCATGAACTTCTCATGCAAGCCCGAGGTCACCAGGGCTCTCAAATGCCCCAAGGATCTTACCCACTTCAGGAAGCCCCAGCATCTCGTTCCCGAGGCCATATGAGCCAGCACAGAGAGCGCCCCCTCAAAAGAGAAGTGGATGCAGAAGCCACATCCTATGTGCAAGGGAGCCATCCAGCACAACCACAATTGGGGGACAATTTCCTTCAAGAATATGAAGCACAAAGGTTAGTAAGGGTCTTCGATCGAATAGAGCAGGACCCTAGTAACGAGGTCCGCTCAGTGTGAAGATCAGTTCGACAAGAACAGGAGTAAGAACAAGCACCTCCTCCTCCTAGAAATAGGAAGGAAAGAAGGGACTCAGTTGATTGGGGGAGTCGAGGAGAAGCACCTCCACCTCCCCAAAACATTCAAGATGATGAAGGGTCAGATGGGCCTTGTCGATCCTATAAAATTGACGATGATGATGATAACCTCCCTTTCTCAAGGAAAATTCAAAGTTTTCCAATGCCTGCAAATTTCATGCCCCCTAAGATTTTCAAGTATGAAGAAAAGGGGGACCCGGAGAAGCACCTTACCAAGTACATGACGCAGATCAGCCTCAGGGGAGCCTCACCTATTTTGAAGTACAGAGCCTTCCAGTTAACTATAAGCGGAGCTGCTGAAGTGTGGTACAACAGACTTCCTCCCCTGAGCATCAGGAGTTGGCCGGATCTGAAGAAGGCATTCTTGAACCAGTACCTCTCACGCAGAGAAGGAGAGGCCCCGGTGCAACGCCTGCAAGATACGAGACAGGCCCCTGGATAGACGCTGAAAAGTTATCTCGCCAGGTTTACAAACGAAATCATGTATTGCGAGTAGGTCACTGACAAAGAAGCCCTTTCAATCTTGAAATGTGGCCTCAACATGAACACTTTGTTCTTGAGGGATATGCGCAGCCAAAATCCCATCACTTATGATGAACTGGTAGAAATGATGAGAGTTGAGATCGTCAGTGAAGAGATGATTGATCATCGAAATCGTACCGTGCAGAGACTCCCTCCGTCTCAAAGGTAGGTAGGTTGATGACCCGCAGCGCACCTTGTCACTTAGTAATGGACTCAAGCATGTCATACAATAGCTCCCACCTCTGGACAGGCACTGGCTTCTGCCAAGCTAAATGCAGTGCCGGTGTTAGCGTACGAGAATTTCCCTAGTGGAGCATGGCCATCTGGAGAAATTGATAGTAATAAAAGAATAAGAATAAGCGGTCAAATAGGCCCTTGAAAGGGGCAAGATTTTGCACTTTCCACCAACTCTATGGGCATGACACAAGTGAGTGCAGAGATGCTCCTCGATGCCCGGATCGGAGTGACCCACATCTCTCCAAGAGGAACGAATATCCTTGCGGATTCCACCTCCCCGAACAAGGGAGAGAGAAGGTATAGAGAGCAGTCACCCCAGAGAAGAGAATCAAGGGACCGAGGAGAGTCCAGGCAGAGAGATCAGGCCCCATTTTCTAGAGGCCAAATCATCAGAGAGATCAACACGATCATTGGGGGACCTCACATCGGTGGCAACACCAGGAATACCCAAAGAAATTACATAAGGGAAGCAAAGGACCCGCCAATGCTTAGCTACATTCTCAACAAGTCCCAACTCCAATAGGATGGCCCCAATCACCTTCTCCTAGGAAGATGAACAAGGAGTTCACCACCGCCATTGTGACGCATTGTTTGTGAGAGCCGTAGTGGCAAGAAACGGGCTCAAACGCATGCTCGTCGATAATGGCAGTTCGGTGAATATATTATTCGGCTCCACCTTCGACAAGATGCAAATTGAACATGGGTTGATCCCCATGACCGACCCACTATTCAGATTTATTGGAGACAGCATTGTCTTACGAGGACGGATTACTCTGCCTATCGAGATGGGTTCAGCTCTCCTAGTGGCTCGACACTTCATGGAATTCTTGGTGGTAGACCACAGATTAGCCTACCATGGAGTATTGGTCAGACCCGCCTTGAAAGATCTATGNCATATATCCACTACTTATGTATGAAATTCCCAACTGAACATGGGATTGCCACGGTACGAGGCGATCAGATGGGCTCCAGGGCATGTTACTCAAACTCTTTGCGAAAATCGAAGCCCCGAACTGTTAATGTGATCATAACTGAAGTTGCCAGCAAACCCAATTTGGACGTGGAAATGCTCGACGCCCCTGAACAAGGACATACCTCCGAACAGGAGGAAGACGTAGACATGGAAGAGGCCCCTGAAGAAGGGCACCCTCTTGATGAATTAGATCCCCGAATCATTGACTCCGAGCTAAATGCAACCCCAATGGAAGAACTTGAAACTTTCTTTGCAAACCCAGAGGACCCCAATCAGGTCTTGCGAATAGGGGATGCACTGTCCCCCGAAGCAAAAGAAGAAATGAAGAGCTTCCTGAAAAGGAACTTGGATGTCTTCACTTGGAAGATGAAGACATGGTGGGAATAGATCAAGGATCAGTTGCAATCATCTTAATATCAACTCCTCATGTGCCCATATCGCCAGAAAAGACGTGCACTCAACCCAGAGCGATACGAGGCACTCGAAGATGAAGTAGACAAACTTAATCACAGTGGCTTCATCAGAGAAGCCATATATCCAAAGTGGATATCCAACCCGATCCTGGTGAAGAAGCCCAGCAGAAAGTGGAGGGTGTGCATAGACTTCACGAACGTAAATAAGGCATGCCCTAAAGATAGCTTCCCACTTCTAAGGATAAACCAACTTGAGGATTCCACCATCGGACATGAACTCTTGAGCTTCATGGATGCATACTCATGGCGTAACCAGATACCCATGTTTCGACCTGATGAGGAGGCTACATCATTCATCACAGACAGAGGACTATACTGCTACAAAGTCATGCCATTCGGATTGAAAAACGCTAGAGCTACATATTAGAGGCTGGTCAACATGATGTTTGCCGAACTCATTGGTAAATCAATGGAGGTCTACGTGGATGACATGCTAGTCAAGAGCCTCCGGGCCAACGAACACGTAAGTCACCTCGACCAAACCTTTCAGATACTTAGAAAATATAAAATGAAGTTAAATCCCCTCAAGTGCACCTTTGGAGTGGCTTCGGGTCAATTTTTGAGATATATTATAAACCAAAGAAGAATCGAAGCGAACCAGTGAAGATAATGGCCTTACTTGAAATGAGGTCACCTCAGAAACCAAAGGAGGTCCAAAGCCTCAATGGTCGGATAGCCGCACTCAGTCGCTTCATCTCCAGAGCTACAGATAAGAGCTTACCCTTCTTCAATGTGCTGAAGCAAGGAAAGAAGTTTCAATGGACTTCTGAGTGCGAAGAAGCCTTCCAAGCGCTGAAGAAGCATTTAGGAGAAGTATCCATGTTGTCAAAACCTCAACCAGAAGAGCCACTACTACTTTACTTGGCGGTTTCAGACGAGGCGGTCAGCACTGTCCTAGTCAGAGAAGAAAATGGACACCAGTTACTGATATACTATGTCAGTAAAGCACTCCTCCCAACTGAAACACGCTACCCAGACATTGAAAAATTGGCACTCACTCTCATCACAGCCTCCAGAAAACTGAGGCCATACTTCCAGGCCCACTTAATTGAAGTTCTCACCAACTTTCCATTGAAGCAAGTGCTATAGAGAATAGATGCATCAGGACGCCTGCTAAAGTGGATGATCGAACTTAGTGAGTTTGACATACTGTTCCGACCTCGACATGCCGTCAAGGGCCAGGCCCTTGCAAATTTTGTGGCTAAATTTGCCAAAGCCCCAGAAATAGAGGCAACAATGGAACCAGTTGAGCCCCCAACGTGGAAACTATTCATAGATGGATCCTCAGGAGAGGCCGGCTCCGGGGCAAGGATCGTCTTGGAAAGCCCTGAAGGCCACAGCCTAAATTGCGCAGTAAGGTTCGGCTTCGAAGCCTCGAACAACACTGCTGAATATGAGGCCCTTCTAGTAGGCCTTAGACTGGCGAAAGAAATGCAAGTCAGAAGGCTCCTAGCGAGCAGCGATTCTCAGCTTGTAGTGAGTCAGGTCAATGGAAACTTTGCGGCCAAAGACAGTAGCACGGTTGCATACTTGAAATTGGTTCTAGACCTAGTCCCTCATTTTGAAAGGTTCGAGCTGATTCAAGTCCCGCGCCTAGAAAATACTCATGCAGATGCCTTGTCAAAATTGGCCAGTAGCAAGGATTCAGAGCTACTAAAGGTTGTCCCCATTGAACACTTATCGAAACCCTCCATTTTCGGAGGTGAAGAGGTGCTATGGATAGAAGGCACCCCGTTATGGATGCAACCCATCATCACCTATCTTAAGGACCAATTACTACTAGCTTCCAGAAGCGAGGCAAGGAAGTTAAAAAGGAGGGCTGCACACTTCGTCCTACAAGAAAATGTCCTCTACAAAAGAGGCTTCGCCTCGCCACTTCTCTGATGTGTAGGAGGTGAAGAGGCCATGTATATACTCAGGGAAATCCACGAGGGAATCTGCAGGAATCACTCCGGAGGAACGGCTCTGGCACACAAAGTACTCCGGCAAGGCTACTTTTGGCTGACCTTGAAAATGGATGCTTGCCATTTTGTCCAGAAATGTGACAAGTGCCAGCGTTTCTCAAATATTCAAAGGCAACCTTCTTAGAGCCTCTCTGTAGTGACCAGCCCTTGACCATTTGCAAAATGGGACATTAACTTCATTGGTCCCCTCCCAAAAGGAAGAGGAAGAGCGACTTTTGCCATTGTCGCCATCGATTATTTCACCAAGTGGGTCGAAGCTGAACCTCTTGCCAAGATCATCGAGGTGAATACTACAAAATTCGTCTGAAAGAACATCATTTGCAGGTTAGACATTTTCCACTCCTTAGTATTTGACAACGGGAGACAATTCGACAACAAGAAAATGCGAGACTTATACGATGAACTAGACATAAAGAAGGATTTCTCGATACCTCATCACCCGCAAGCAAATGGGAAAGTTGAGGCAGTAAACAAAACAATCAAGCATACCCTAAAAAGGAAGCTTTACATCTCGAAAGGGGCTTGGGTTAAGGTGCTTTCCCACGTCCTCTAAGCCATCAGAACAACTAACCGAACTGCAACAAGGGAGACACCCTTCTCCATGACCTACGGAGCCGAGGCCATGAGCCCGGTTGAGGTAGGAATCCCATCGCATCGTCGAGTACACTTCAATGAGATCAGTAACGACGAGGCTCGAATGAGCGAACTCCACCTCCTTGAAGAAAGGAGGGATGTCTCCTAGGTGAACTTGGCAAAGTATCATAGAAAGATGACCCGCTATTATAACTCCAAGGTCAGAAATCGGACTCTTCGTCTGGGAGACCTTGTCTTTAGAAGGGTCTTCCAATCATCAAAGCCAACTAGGTCCGGAGTGTTGGGACTGAATTGGGAGGGTCCTTAATGCATCCTCAGGGAATCCCGACCTGGCACTTTTGAAATTGAAGACATGGCAGGGAAAGTACTGTCTCATCAATGGAACATCGAACATTTAAGGAAGTACTATCAATAATGAGCTTGTGTTTCGATCCGATATTAATGATGTCTAGTTAACGAGTGTCATGATCCGACCTCATTTGTAACTTCCATATCTTACTAAGTGCTGAAAATGCCTTAGTGAAGAGTGATGTAATTCCTCTTAAGTAATGATACTTCAGTTGTTTGTCACATCTGTTAGTAAATTGTTACCTTGGTTCTTCAATATGTTAATTGATCCGATCTTCTGTTATTAACTGGTTATTGGTAATGGGCACTTAAGTGGTTGTCATTCATATACTTAAGTGTAAACAACTCAACACAATGAAAAAACAGAAGCAACAATACTTATATAAAAATTTTCGTTTTCATTCATTTGAGAATTGAATTTCTTGATGGTTTTCTTTCGCCTCCATCAAGTCAGAAGAAAAGCAGAGGAATGGTCATAGGAGTGAAAAAATGAAAACGGTATGGTATTAGCCGAAAACAATAAAAAAGGTACAAAAAATGACGCCATTTTTTTCTCTTGTACAGTATTTTCGGATTAGTTTACTATTTCATCCACAGTAACATCTTGTTCCCCTTGTTAATAGAAGTTAGATAAACACAAAGTAAGGTCATGTTACTAATCATGTCTTAATAAGCTATAAAATCGTATTAATTACAGTTGAAAAGAGAACACATTAATGCCTTCTTAAAACCAAGAATAAAGCTACTCATCCAAGCTTAAAAATAGGAGAGCAAAAAGACTGACCAATGTGTCAGAAAGTGATAGGTTGTTTTGTGTTTTAAATTTTCAAACTGTTTAATCATGTGTCGACACGTGTTTCATCTGGATTTAAACTTGGATTTGAGCCTAGATATATAGCATGATTGTAAAACCAATCCATGACTCATGATCCCCGATCCCAAAATTTCAACACATAAAACAAAAAATCTTTAAAAAAAAATAAAAATAAAAAATACTACCAAAATCTGCAAATTCAGGTAGAAATTGACATCTTCCATATTATTAATGTTAGAAATTTCGCACTATCCCTTCTTTAAAATAAAAATAAATAAATAAAAAAGGTCAGAAATCTACATCCCTAAATTAGATGTAGAGTTCATTTTTCAGATTTTGGTGTTCATTTTATTTCAATTTCATTTTACAATCAGCATTGGAAAAATTTGTTTTCCTAGGTAACATACTCATTCTTCCTTGAAACTTATAAAAGAATTTTCTAAACTTTGATTGATTTAAGTCATTGATGTGAAATACAAAAAGCCACAACAATTGGGGAGAGAGAGAGAGAGAGAGAGAGAGAGAGAGAGAGAGAGAGAGAGAGAGAGAGAGAGAATCATGTTGGTTGATTTAGAATTTTTGTATACTACGTAAATAGTTAGTTGAAATTTATGCTCTTGAACAATTGCTGAGAATAATTGCAAATTACTTTTAGTTTGATATTTTGAAGATGCTTTTTGTTTTCCTAACATATGCATCGGATAATCTAATATACATTTTAATTAAAAATAGAAGGCAGCACAATTTGATTGACGATACGGGAAAAATAATGCAGGTATCAATTTATAATTTAGAACAAACCATTTGCATAGTATAGAAATTAAGAGCAATGCTATCCATCATCAGAGATTACAATAGCCGTCTTGTGTGACAGTTTATTAGTTGAGGCATTAGTTTCCTATAATTATTGAGAACCATGAGTTGGCAGGATTATATATCATCGATTTTAAAAACTATTTTTTAGACAGTACGGATATTGACAACACATGATTGTCAACAAAGTTGTTTTGTTGTCAACAAAATATCATACAAATAACTTCATTCATGTTTTAAAAATAATCACTGATTATGAATAATATTACTTAGAAAGGAATTATTAACATGTAAAATTTTCTTATTTTAATTCGAACTATACAAATTACAAACATATGATAATGATGATGTGATTAGGAGATCGGCTTAACTTATTGGTGTTCTTGGGAGATGATTCCAAGTGAATTACAACAAATCAACCTAATGCAAAGGCATTTTCTATCTAACAACCCGACCTCTATACCCAAATTATTAAATTATGTACTGTTCAATTTGGAGGACATTTTCCCTTTTATCATTCATAGATTTTTATTGCATTCCACAAGATTCATATTCGAGATTTCTACCTTATTAGAGATTTAAGTTGAAAATCAACCTAATGCAAAGGCATTTTCTATCTAACAACCCGACCTCTATACCCAAATTATTAAATTATGTACTGTTCAATTTGGGAGGACATTTTCCCTTTTATCTTTCATAGATTTTTATTGCATCCCACAAGATTCATATTCGAGATTTCTACCTTATTAGAGATTTAAGTTGAATTCTATTACCGATTGGGAAAGTTTCAATTGGGAAAACAATTCAACTTAAATTTCTTATGAGGTATAGGTCTTGTGTTCGAATCTTGAGAGACGTGACAAATCCGTGAGATCTAAGATGAGCTTAGACTATTCCAAAACAGACGACATGTATAATATAACGATTTGTGCAGGAAGCTCAAGTCTCACACTATATTTAGGAATTGATTAATTCCTAGTGTTTATTTGAATACTCATTGTCGTTCATTTTTGTTCTTATCATAGCCTATTAAATCACAATAAAATTGTTATCCATATGAGAATTATAATCTCATAAATGAACATGATTTTCAGACGATTAAGTCAGCATTCACATTTAATTAAGACAAAATATTTGTCTTAATTTGCCATTTATAATTGGTAGGGTAGTTATAGAACTAACTAATTAATTCATTATGCATGTCCTTTATCATACTAATCAAATGTGTTAGGAATGCATAGCAGAGATTTTTTCTAAGATTAAGACACAGATTATGTCACTTTCTATTTTGTCCATTTCTAATAGAACATCTTTTAGGTTTCGCAATTTCAGGCTTAGTGTCGATTTTTCTTATATTAACAAGTTAATGTGATTTACGAGTTTCAAACATGCTTATAAGAACCATTTGACCTAAAAATCAAATGTTTCTTTTTATACTATTCTTTTACATATTTCCTTGCATTTAGGTTCTAAATAAAGAAGACACAATTTTTATCATATAATATTTTACGATATTATTCAAACAGAAAATGACTTCAAGTTCAGTATTATACCAAGTTAATGATAATAGTACCTTGTCCTTGTAAAATATTGAAAAGAAGACCTACATGTGAAACCTATTACAAGTGAACATCCCATGGGCACAAGCAGTAGCGATTATTGGAAAGAGAAATGATTACTCATATTTTTATCAATGTTTTAAAAACTATCTGGCCCAAAAAAGAGAAAGGGTCAAAGGTCAAAAGTTCGTTGCTTTATAAAAAAAATTAAAAAATATATGTTTATAAAGAAAGAAACTGAAAAGTAATTTTTTTTAGATCAAATCACAAAACCAATCAACTAAGTCAAGCGCTAATCAATTCAATTATATAATGTAAAATAAGTCAATAATTAATAAGTCAATAATATAACGTAAAAAATAATATTAATAATATGAAAACTAACAAGTTAAAAGTTTTACATCACCTATCATCAATTAAAAAATGTGAAGTAATAATTGGAATAAAAAAGTGCACTAAACATGAAAGATTAAATAGTTAAATTTCGCCTTAGTCATTTTCATGTAGAAGCGTTAATCTTTGATCACTTCCACAATCACTTGAACCACCAAAATGGCGAAGAACATCAAGTGTATCTAAATCACCCATATTTTGAGTATTAAGCTCATCGTTATTTTCATTGTCATCTAAAATACAAAAATAAGAAACAACATATTAGAAAAAAGTACCTAACTAATATAAAAATATATAAAAACAATAAGTTGAGATTATTAAACTTTCAAATGTTGAACATTATCATCAACTTCATGGTCATTAATATTTGAAATTGCATTTTCTTAATAAATAGCATTATCTAAGTCTTCATACTCGAAATCCTGTGGTGGCACTTCTTCCTCCATCAGTGCCACCCTCCACCCAAAAGTTTGTCTTGTCAATGCGCGCATATCAAATGGATAATAAGATCTCTTCTTAT